GAGAGAGAGAGAGAGAGAGAGAGAAGGAATTAAAAAGAAAGGAATGGGCTTTACCTGTTGCTCTGGACTCATGTATTGAAGAGTTCCTGTGCGCCTTGTTCTGGGTTTTCCATCATTTTCCAGGGCTGTTGCAAGGCCAAAGTCTCCAATCTTAATGTGTTTTTCATCTACTAAAAATATATTACCTGGCTATAGAAAAAAATTAATTACCATATACCAGCTGGACCAATTATTACCACAGGTCTCAACTACATCTGGGGATGAGACAGGGTTGCTCTGTGTAGCCTCGGCTGTCCCAGAACTCACTCTATAGACTACACTGGCTTAGAACTCAGAGATCTGCCTGTCTCTGCCTCCAGAGTGCTGAGATTAAAGTTGGGCACTGCCAACACCACCCAGTCCCAACTATCTTTTATGCTGATTTGTATGGATTGCATCTATCCTTCCACAGGCTTCCCAAATCAGGGAATTTTAAACCTTGGATCTTTAAAATTGCCAAGTGAAGAAAGAAGGAAAGACTTTTAAATGACAACAAAGGTGGTTGGGGCTATACCTGTTTTCAAACATCAGGTCAGCTGTCAAGTGAAAAATTCAGTTTGCAGGGTTCCAAGAGAGGGATCCAGACTGGATGGTGGGCATGAGTACGGATCCTTGCTTTCATACACCCTAGCCAAGTGAGGTGCAAGGAATGGGGGTTAGAGATCCCCAGCCCAGAACAGAGCTGGGCATCCACCTGAGCCAATTCTGCAGATGTGAATCAGAATCTGTCAGGAACTAAAACCCCTTCCAATCTTGTGAATCTCTGAATGGGATACTGCAGGTTAGCCCAGGCAGGATTTCTCTCCAGTTCTGACAGTTTTTAGGAAGTATATCCCCATCCACCTTATTAAACAGATGCTGATAATGATCACAAAACACCTTTTCTGTGCATTTTCTTGGGTCATTTTGTTTTTGTTGCTGCTGTTGTTTGGATTGGTGAGGGGGGGAGCTATTTTGTTTTGTTTTGTTTTACAGGGTTTCACATATCCCATGCTAGTCTCAAACTCAGTACGTAGCCAAGGATGACCTAGAACTTCTGATCCTGTCACCTCCACTTTCTAAGTTTTGGGATTTAGAGCATGAGCTACCATGCCTGGTTTATTCACAACTGGGGATCAAATGCAGAGTTCCATGCATCCTAGGCAAGCACTCTAATGAGTGAACTACATCTCTAGTCACTCTAAGGTGCAATTTTAAGCATATGTAAAATGTATAGGACAATTCTATGACATCAGTTTTTTCTTTCCACCTATATGTGGGCTCCAGAAATTGAACTTAGATCACTAGTCTTGTACAACAAGAATCTTTACCCACTAAGCCAAACACACACACACACACACAAACACACACACACACAAACACACACACACACACAAGCCCGCCATGCACACACACATACCTATGAGAGGGCCTAGGTAAAAAACGAGGAATAAGATGAGGAGACCAGGAAAGGCCAAAAGGAGCTTCTGAGGAGCCCCGTGCAAAAATTAGCGATGAGATTCAAGTTCAGACAGTTGATTTGAACCTAAAGTCAGTAAGGGAAGAAGCAGATTTGTATGTCATAGATATGGAGAGACAACGTTCTCAAGCTAAAGCGAAGTCTCAGCAGCAGAGCGTTGCTGAGCCACAGATGAATGGGGTAGCTCTTGCTACCTCAGGACAGCACTGTAACCCAACTCTGAGAAACAGGAGATTGAATTGGTGTAAACAGCTAAGCTGGATGAGACAAGGAATGATAACAGATTGTTTTTTATTAAAAAGAAAACAATGAATGACACTTTACTTGTTTAATCAGATATAGTGTGAAGTTAAGGGACAGGGAAGACATGTTACCTTCATCCAGGGAGCAGAGGACAGGTCTGAGGTTCTAGCCAGGGCTGACCCCTGTGGTACCAGGGTAAGATACAGAGATCAGAGGAAGCCCTCTCTCTAGAACCACTATGCCTCCACTGATGAGGCCTGGAGCTTAAGACTCTAACTTGGTGAGAAGCGACCTCCTGGAGGCTTCCTGTCAGAATGGCTCTGTATAAACACTGTCCTCTGGGAGACACCAGCAAACATAGCTTTCTAGTCTTTTCTGAGATGAGAGGAAAGCAGCATTAGAGGTTTAAAAAACATTCATGAAAGGATCTCGGCTCAGGATGAAGTACACTAGAGAAAGACCTCTGTAAATAGAGAAGACCACAAGAAAAGACCGCTTCATGACACACAACCCAGCCAGAGCAGATGCAGGAAAGCTGGCAGTCAGTCAGGAAGTACATTCCAGAACTCATTATGCATATATATATAATTTAATGTATAATAAATTATATCCACAATACCTATATTACATAATTTATTATACATTATATATAATTATATATATATAAAGTATGTAGAGTAAATGCTTCATGGCTTATTCTCTTTCCCAAGTTGAATACTTCAGAACACGCTAACATGCAGAACACATTTTAATAAACATTCATATATCCTAAGCAGGAAGGCTTGATGACACTTTCTTACACATTTTGCAAATTCCTTCCATATCTGCTTTCACAGAAAAGCAGATGGATTCTGGACTCTGTTTTGCATCCAGCCTGTTGTGATAGGTTTTAAATGAGTTATGTGTAAGAAGTTAGTTGCCTCTTCAATTCTATGTATACTTACACTGAAGTGAAGGAATACTGGATAAAAACAAAAATTAAAATGTTTTTGAGATATGATCTAGCTGTGTGGACCAGGCTGGCCTCAAGCTCGTAATCCACCTACCTCAGGTTCTCAGATGTTGGGATTTCAAGTGTGTGTCATCCACCCTGGCCTTAATTTATCCTTTGTAATATAACATTCCTAAAAATGTTCTAACTTTCAAGAACACTTTCAGATATTGCTACAGAGAAATATTAGAAATGAGTGGACTCAAATATCAAATTATTAAGCTCACGAATGCAAAACAAACAGAAGAACTTGTGTGTTTTGAAGTCCACTTAATTTTAACTAGGTTGAGCAAGCAGCTATAAACAAGGGTAGTTATTTTCCCAGCGACTGTTTTGAAACATTCCTCATTCGGGTGTTTTAGACAGGTGGAATACACAGACAGCCAAGACAAGGCTCTTCTGCCTAGAGCAGAAAAGGGCAGGGAGCAGAGGGACTCAGAAGGAATCAGGACAAAGTGGGACATCAGAAGCTTGTCCAGTGAAGGACATGAGCAAAGCCATCAGGTAGGACTTGGCATGGTAGGTGTACTGGCTGGTTTTGTGTCAACTTGACACAAGCTGGAGTTATCACAGAGAAAGGAGCCTCCCTGGAGGAAATGCCTCCATGAGATCCAGCTGTAAGGCATTTCCTCAATTAGTGATCAAGGGGGGAGGGCCCTAGCCCATTGTGGGTGGTGCCATCCCTGAGCTGGTAGTCCTGGTTCTATAAGAAAGAAAGAAAGAAA